AGTTTAAATCCCAACTTGTACGAATATTATGAAATCATGAATTGATTTATTTCTAATAAATGTTTTTATGACCAAACAAGATATATTTATCCACAAAGTGTTCATCCAGACGTCAGACCAATGTTAAAACAAAACACGTTACAAGAACAGAACATTTAAAAACATCACATTATCACATTATCTGATTCAAAAACATTATCTTAGCATGCTAGTCTGGAACTCTTAGTGCTTCACTAAATCATTCCAAGCCTTAATTGTACCATGTGCGGTTTATTAACTCAATTTGATTAACTGTTTATTTGCTGAAGATGCTTCAGAGTGGTACAAAAAAATGACCACTAGCTGTCACTTTGGAAATGGGATTCAAAATGTTTTGAGGCTTCGACATATTTGCTTCAACTGTTTCAGTATTTCATGAAGCCTTGCTTAGCCCACCACTAAAAAACAAAGCAAGGACCAAAAGGAACGGCAAGGCTAGACAGGAATAACGCTTGGTAATGTTACAGGTAAACAAGATTCGGCAAAGTATGTGTGTGTGTGTGTGTGTGTGTGTGTGTGTGTGTGCTGTTTAAATGGTCTATTTGATTATTCATCATGAGCTTCCAGCTGTATAAGTGCAATCAGAGAGAGAACCGGAACTGGTGTGTGTGGTGCGGGATGGGATTCGTAGTTCTAATCAGTAGCATATGTGTAGTTCTCCAGCGATTTGCACAGGCTTGATCGCTGTTGATCATGAAAACTATAATTATATGTCAATAACACTAAAATATCTCAATTTGAAAGTCTAAATGCAGACAAACGTAAAACTCTGAAATTCTTGTATTAATATTCACATCACTGTTAAAAAGCTATCACATCATAGATAAAAAGCAATTACGAAGACATCAAATTTGGCCTGTCATAATTAATCCTTAAAATAGGAATTAAAACTTTTAGTCTCTCAAAAATCGCTGATTTAGACCAAGAAAAATTCTCCCATTGATATTATGCAGGTCATGAAATAAGAGCTAGTTAGTGAGCATTTGGTGATAAAGAGTAGGGCCTCAAGTGAGAAAAACATCCAATTAAAAGTCTCTTTGAAAGTCTTTTAGTTAGTTAGTGATGCACACAGATGGACATACAAGACCTGGATTGTTGCATGAGCATCTACACGTCATTGTATAAGAATTCGCTTATAACTTAAAATGCCACATGCACTGCCTCTACCTCATTCAGACACCCCATCTCCAGCAACACAGAAAGTTTTGGAGTCTTTCACCAAACATCTTGAGAGCCCAGCCAGAGCTTGTTCAATGCTCTTGTAAACAATCAAGAATGCTACGCTCCCACAGTGCCTTCAAAAGCCCTGAATTAATAATCACAGCACTTTTTAGGAGCTACGCAGATTAGCAACCAGTCATGTTTGCTGCCTTCCATTATTAATGAGTTGTTTGCACCACAACTTGACCTTCCTTCTGCCGCCACGATCTCCAAACAAACTCGCATGGAACAGGAAGAAGAAGTGTGAGGTAAAGTGCCAAGGCTTTTTAGAGCAGACATGCTTTTTCTGAATGAGAAGGATTGGAGTGAAAATAAAACTCAGCTGCAGAAGTCAAGCCAAACCACTTGGACTTTTGAATGCTGAGGCAAAAGGTCAAAGAAAATGACTTTCTCATAAAGAAACGTCAACCGGCAAGGCTGAAAAGACACAGAGCGAGACACTGAATGGCATGAAACGCAGCAAAAATCAATGAAAACAGCAGGTTGTTTGTCGGGTTTCAAGGAAAACATTTGTCTGCTAGAATGCTTTTGTCCAGCAACAGACAAGAAAAGAGAATGAAAGTAATAAAGATACTAAATGCACTGACTTGTCTCATCAATAAAAATACTTAATCTATTTCTCAACAATATAATTGCCTATTTATTGTCATTTATAACTAAACCCTGTACTGAACTATGGTTTTACTACAAATAAAATCATACACAAAAAGTGGTTACAGCTGTTAAATCATGGCAGCCAAAAATCAGCCAGGGTTTTAAAACACTAACTACATAGTTTATCTGTAGTATTTGCAGAAATTCCCACCATTCTAAACTCATTTTAATTTTCCATTGCAAACTTTTGAAGATTGTGGTAATGTCATATCATTATATAAATAAAAATATATTTTAATAAAACATGCTATAAACAGAAATTGTGACGCGGTGGAGTGGTGGTGGAATGTCACAAACTCAATTCCTGGAGGGCCGCAGCTCTGCATAGTTTTGCTACTTCATTTTTAACCTTAATTTTACACAGCTGATCCAACTTATCAAGGTGTTCAAAATCACTGGTGTTTATTAGTCTTAAGCTACGGTCACACTAGAACAGGGGTCTCGTGAACCTTTTTTTTTTTTAGCAAAAAAACAAAATAATAAAATAAAAATAGAACCATTACTGATATTTTTAGCAAATGCATTTTTTGAAGAGCCATTTGGATGTGTATAGATCTCAAAATGGCTTCTTAAAAATGCACTTTCTACTGTATTACAATAAATTACTAAAAATTATTACAGTATTACTACTAATACTATATTATATATAATTTAATAATATATAATATATATAGTATAATACTATATAAATACAGATTTAAACAAAACCTTAATTTATGTCCATACACAACTCAACAATAAACAAATTTGAAGCATCACATGTTGAGCAAGTCCATGAATGAAGAAAGAACAATTTATAGTATTTTTATTTTCGCCATCACTTTCGCCATTTTCGCAATTTAAGTTGTTTGCCCTTTGTTGGTGTCGCAATTCAAATTTATCCACATTGCCACAAACGCACATAGGTCGAAACGTCCTTTTATTGTTAACGGAGTTCTTATTCATTGTGCTGTATAAAACTACAATTAAAAAGGGGATTGTAGGTGTATTTTCGATGGGAAACGGATTTTTAGTGATGGTTATACATTTTTAAACGGTAAAATAATATTGAAGGGAAACAGCTGGAGAGCCACGTATTTTTGGTCAAAGAGCCACAAGTGGCTCGAATCATAGGTTCCCTACCACTGCACTAGAGTTTGAGCTTGCTAAATTCCGTAGTACGGTGCTGCGAATAGGGGCGGGATAAAACAAGTTGATTAGACATTTAAAAAACGTGAGCGATTGGTCCATATTTTAAATTCCTGTCCAGAGAGGTCATGTTTTAATCTTTAATTTGGTCTCAAGCAAATGTGATGCGATTTCGCTTGTCATTTTACTTTGCTTGAACTTTCCAATGAAAGCAAACTGCGAAACTTGACGCACAAGTTTGCGTTTAAGGTCATCGAACATCGTATAGTGTGCGTATGAATGGAAGTCTATGGGGAGAAAAGTACAGTGTGCCCGCAGCTTTAAACACCTTGATTAGTTGGATCAACTGTGTTTCATAGGGTTGTAGCAAAACTGCAGATCAAAATCAAATTTGAGACCTATATGCTAAAGTCTGGGTTAACACACTATTATCTGATGAAACTAGATTAAAATTAAGCAATATTAGTATTAGCATCAAATTAAAAGCCTCATGAACTACAAACACTAATCTGAAATAACCAGTGGCTACAACACATTTACTTAACTGAGTCTGTTCCCATGAACGCAGGGTTGCCAGGTTTTCATAACAAAACTAGCAGGACTGAAAATATGCCTCTCAAAATTGTCATTTTACAAAGCCTCGCACTATACACGCCTTATATTTTAAAACCACTCTATATTAGCAAACAAAGATTCTATTTTCAGAAATAATTTTACCTTCAGATAGAGGGGATGTGTCCTCGCGTGACTGCCATGCTGTCGATGAATGGATGACAAATAAAGAACTACACCGGAAGTTCACCCCAAATTGGTAAAAATTATAACAAATCATATATATTTTAAATATCTAAAATAATCATAAGATCCTAATTAAAGTTTTATCAGTGAACTTTCTTCTGTAGATTAACTTAAAGTACATACCTTTTTTGTTTTTAGCAACAATCCTGAAGAAAGCTGCCATAGCCAATCTGTTACTATAGTAACACAAGTATCAGCAGCAGCACTGCACGTCTTTCCTTTTTAGTGCAGGAGTGTCCAAACTCGGTCCTGGAGCTGGTGTCCTGCAAATTTTAGCTCCAATTTGCCTCAACACACCTAGCTGCAAGACTTTTCTAGAAAACCTTGCAAGAGTTTGATTTGCTAGCCTAGGTGTGTCAGTCTAATTGGGGTTGGAACTAAAGCCCTCCAAAAGTGTGCTTAATTAGTTTTATTTGTCTAGAAGTTATCATTGGTAGAATACAAAAAAGTTAAACAACACAACCATATATTTGATGCATATTGTCAACCAGGCACGTGCACACATAGGGCTCAACCTGTGCAGTGCACATGCCATTTTTAGTCTTGGATAGAAAGTGCCCTTCCAAAATGATCAAAAGTGCCCCCGCGACGCGGCACACCCTCGGTCCCGCGCGCAACAAAAAACCCACAACAGGGCTTAAAAGCAGCTTAAATCCGCAGAAACGCAGGATTGAACGCAGGCAACCCAGCATGAACGCTGTTTAAGGTTGTTTTTAAAGCGTTTATGAGTTTCTAAACAATCCACATAAGCCTGCCCTTGTTTTATACATCCTCATCTTCTGTTCTTTTACAGTAGTGGTGTCAAACTCAGTTCCCAAGGGCTGCAGCCCTGCAGTTTAGTTCCCTGCTAAAATACACTTATCTGGGGGTTAAAACAAGCATGAATGACTCAATTGGTTTGATCATGTGTGTTTAATTAGAACTAAAGCTAAATTGTGCAAAGCTGCGGCCCTCCAGGTAGTTCAATACATGCGCTTTATAGGTCTCGGTGACATTGAAAATTTTAACTTTACTTGACAATTGCTATAAGTCTATGGCTCCCTCTAGTGGAAAATAACCCCAAGTTTTAGACAACCTTTTGAAAAACCACTAATAATAAAAAGAAGTGATTTTATAATTGACCATATTCAATAACGTCTAGCAGATTTTCACACAGAGACTGACACAATAGTAATAGCTAGTTTATTTATGATGTTTCTCAGCCTAATTTGGCTCATTAACCATCAGAAGAGACAACTAATTCTGTCCATTCATCAACCTTATTCCCAGATGCTCTCTTATTGAACAAAAAAATCCTAACATTTCACCGTAGAGTCATACTTAAAGTAAAATACAGCATAACATCTCAAAATGAGAAAGCTGGACTTCTACAAAATAAATAGCTACTTCAGGAAGTAAACTGAGGAATATACTCTGAGAGGGATGGTTTGGCATGGAGCAGTCAATAAAAATCTCCACTATGTATATATGATCTTGCTAAAGCCCATAAGAATGTTTACATTAAAGAGAACAATGTTCATAGGCGGGTATTAAACTCTTTTGCATACATACACACACAAAAATGGTATTAAATCATTCGCACACGCAGCAAACATACACTTTATACAGCCAATTGATTGGGGCTCAACTCAAAGAACAAGATATTAACTGTATACCCATTGCATCATCAAACACTTTTAAGTTGTGTCAGCGACAAAATGAGGTCAAAGAAAACAAAAACACGTGGATGAGTCCGATTTCCTTTCCGACTTAAATAGGATGACCCAGAGGCCAATGAGAAAGCTGAGAACAGCCAAAGGCATACTGCAGATAAACGCAATGACAGGAACAATAGTGTTTGGCCTTGGTAGTCCCTTTGTCACAGTCATGCTCTGTTGATGAATGGGGTCCACACTGTAACTTCAGTGTCTCAGATGAGTTCATGGAATAAGAAAAGGCCTTGAGTTTTGAAGGACTTCTCATTGGTACTGTCTATAGTCTCCAAATGAAGAAGTGGGCATTGGAGCAGGTTCTTCTGCAAACTGTGGGCCTGTAGAGAAAGATGACAATTGTTTAGCAATTCAAGTACCTATTTGGGCTGTATGATATTGGAAAAACTGACATTATTTCATTTTTCTGTGATATGAATTTAATTTCACAAGCGGATTTAAATAACTCTATTTGAAAATAGTTTATAACTTAACATTGATTGGGAGTGCATCTGCATAAAATATAATAAACACATTACGGACATACAATAGAATGAAGATTTAAAAGAAATAAACCGTGCCTTATGGATTTCTGCACAGTTGAACAGTAATATGGTTCAGAAATGGAACAAACAAATGTAAAATAACATTGTGTATAGTAGTCAACATTTGAAGTAAATCAAAACCTTTTCTCAAAGTTGTCCTAAAACTATTCAACAATTTTCATTCTTTTTGTTGGACAATTTTGAAAAACTTAATTGATCCTCTTCAAATGTTTACTACTGTAGAAATAATGAAATACAATTAAACTATGTTGAAGCTACAAATGTAATAATTTCTAGTGCCCAAATGGTTTAAAAAAGCTTGGAATCATACACAGTCACAGGCCTTAAAAACTTCTAGTCTCTTAAGGTTAAACTTTGCATGAGCATGAACCGTGTTTCTTGTTAATTATAATACCAACTTGGCATTGCAGATATTGTAATGCAACTATTGTAGATTCACATATGGCAATATCAATGCTGGAACAATATATTGTGCATGCCTAAATTTGTATTTCAATTCGTCTCAGAGAATAATCTGCCACACTTACCAGTTGGGAATTGCGCTGAAGCAAACCTTGTGAGCAAAATTCCAGCACCTTCTATTAATGCGAGCAGTATTCCTCCCATTGCAGCAGAGCCAACCATGGCCACTGGTCCATCTGTGAAAAGACAGAAGATTAGAGGGGTGGTCCACTACGGTATGATATTTTAAACTTTAGTTGATGTGTGACGTAGCTGTGTGAACATAAACAACATCTCTGAATGTAAAATGCTCAAAGTTCAATGCAAAGTGAGACTACAGCTGCATCTCAAATGGCACACTATACACTATGCACTTACACATTTAAAAGCATAGTATATGTATGTAGTGTTGTCCCAAATAGAACACCAATGTTTTTTTTTACTGAGCGGAAATTCCAACCCTTTCCCTAATGACGTTCGACGGTTGCTAAATCAGTGAAATAAATGACCAAACTATCAAATACCTGCCATGAGTATAACCGCATTCAACATCAGGAGGCGCTATAATCACTCTCGTGGGAAAATTTTGCTTTCACCACCCAAAAAAAATAAAGATATCCAACATGTGCGCCCGATAGCTCTGCCCCTTCCGCTACGTGAGCAAACCTGCGGTCATTAAGTGCGAAGTGTCCAATATTAGACACTTCATTTTACCGGCTAAATGAGTGCATTATTCGGGTAATTAAAGCGCACTTAACATTTTTCGAGTTTTCAGAGTAAACACACTACTTACACTATTTATACTACAAAATGGCGTAGAATAGTGCATAAGTATGCGATTTGGGACGCAGCTATTGGCTTAGGAAAGCCTACAGTGAACAAAGCTTGGGGACTACAAAAAATACATCCGGGTTAATGATGTCATAAACCCTTCAGTTTACGCACATACACCCCGCGCAGCGAAGGGGTGTGGCCAGAGGCACTGTAATGTTATAACAGAGATGATTCCTGGTGATGTGGAGCTGATCTGCGAATCACAGCACATTATGTTAGCTGACCAATCAGAGCTTCTTGAGGGCGGACCTTTTGGAGGAACTAGGAAATTTGAGTCTTTGTCATGTTAGCTGAGTAGCTGTATATAATCAAAGTAAGATGCATGAAAAAAACAATGTGATTTTTAAGCATGAGTAGACATTGCTTTGCACCCCATAAACACATCAAAGCCTTAAAAATACACCCCTTTAAAGTCCACATAAACCCAAAGCTGCGACCATTTTTTTCTTTGTTTTTTTGTATTATGACAGTTCCTAGAAGAAAAGAATATTAAATGAGAAAACTGTCACCGTGGCTTGTTTTTCTACTCCGAGTAGTAAGAAGAAAGATTGGGAAAAGGGTTTGAGGAGAGTTATTACAAGCTACAGACACCTTCTCACCATTTCTGTGTGTTGTTAATACTTTAGAAAAGATTAAAGACACCACAGCATTACCAGCTTTAGATCAGGATTTGACTCACTTCTTGCTGCTAAAATGGCTCCTGTCATGGCTCCACTTGTGATTGAGTTCCAAGGGTCTTCTTTGCCTCTCACTTTCACCAGCCCACAATCAATCATGGAGAACAGGCCACCCCATACAGCAAAGCTTCCTGATGTTCGAAGACAATTAAATGTCATTTGTTGTAAAAAAAAAAACAAAAAAAAACTGTATGGTCACTGAATGGATTTTTGAGCAAGCACAAAAAAGTGGGATGTAGATCATTATTTAATCTTTTAGACATACGAGACTACCAATTATTATCATCCTTGTCCAGGAGCTCTTCAGCATTAAGTTCAAAATATATTTCATAATTTAATTTAAAAAAAAACATTGTCCAAAATGTTATGCACAGGCTGCACAAGCACATTAAAACATTTTTTTGCTGTAATTGAAAAGGCTGTGCATATAAAACCAAACATATTTTGGGCTTAAAGGGATTTGTATAGGGTCTAAAATAAAGACCAAATTTACAATGTGAAATAATTATATTATAGATTTGATACATGTACTGTATTTACTAATTTATTTTAATTTATTTAAAACTTTCTAATATTAATTTTAATGAAAAAATAAAATGATCAAATATTTATTTATATATTTATTTTAGATCCCTTTTAGATTATTTATTTGAATCTTATTTGATCCTGTTTTGGTGTGAATTAAACTTTTAAAAGAATTAATGCTTTGCTTTTTCTCCAGTCATTTTCACAGATCTTATGATATTAATTTGGTCACAGTTTAAAAAGCAGATGGCAAATAAACAAATTAAAATGAAACGTGTTTTTAATAAAACCTTTTCAAACTTGTGTAATATACACAAACACACAAATAGTTAAATCAGCTAATCAGGCATGTTTGTCTACTAATCAGAATAATGTCAGTGTCAAAAATAGTGGCCATTATTGTGGTTTAACTGGCCATTATCAACACAGATGTAATCAATTGCAATCAAGGCCCCAAAAAAAAAAAAAAAAAAAAAAAAAAAAAAAAAAAAAAAAAACAATACAAAATAAAAAACCCAAACCTTATGAAAAGTATTGCATCACTCATGTGACAAATAACTTTAAACAAGATCATTACCTCCTAGTTGTGGAGCTCTGGTTCTTATGGCTGTCAAGCTACCCTTCATTCTGTGATTCATTCCCTAAAAAGATGAAAAACAAAAACAACATTCACCTTAACACCAGGGACAATAACGTACAACAAGCACTAATCATTTAGTTAAACAGCATTGCTTTAGTAGCAGCATCAAACATGACTCACAGAAGGAGAGTTTCTAAAGCCTTTAACTGCCTGAAAGATCCCTCCACCGATGGCCCCCATGGTGAAGGCGCCCCCACAGTCGTCCACTATCCTCCAGGGACTGACAAACAACAGAGAGATGTCATGACATGTAGTGTTCATCTTTCCAACTAACAACTCTTGCAGTTCTTACAAAACAGTAAAATAGCATGATAAACGCATCAGCAATGAAAATCTATTATGGTTGTGATAGAGGTAAAGTTGGTTTTATATTCGCATATTCAGACTTTCCCCTTCATAATATGATTGTGATCGCTGCTCTAAAATATGTTCTTTTTAAGTGTATGGGTGAAAAACAAAAACTTTTTCCCCCTTAAACGCAATATATAATTTTGTGAAAGATTTAAAATATTTTGGAGCAGTAAACATGTCAGGCTAAATAATTCAAATCAATCATTGACTTCTACTGTCTTCATTTGTTTTAAAAACTGCATCTTTGGATAGGTTTTCTGCTGGAGATACTGTTTTCCTAAAAAAAAACAAAAGGTCAATAAAAACTCTTACACACACGTTAGGAACGGTATTATAGTAAATTTTGGCCTTGACTTTCCCAAACCGTAGTATATTTTGAAAAGGGTTATCGTCCCATGCCTAATTAGCAGCCAATGACTATCAAAGTACAACATTTTCAACAGTCAAATAAACAGTGTTAATGTTGTTTTCAAGTCATACCTGCAGTTTATTTCAGACCGAATATTTAAAGTGGCATGGTAAACAACATTGGGAGTGTGTCACAAGTTGTCACTGAACGAATGTGAGAATATAAAAATACCTTTACGACTATATGGTTGTGGTGCAAATAAAATGCAAAACACATGATTTCTGTAGATAAACCATGCTAACTGTGAAATAACTATAGTTTTGCTACATTAACCATATCTTAGCCTTGGTATTTGCAGTAAATATTTATTATACAAATATTATCAATACAAATTTGCTTGAATAACAGGAAATTCTTTAAAAAACAGTTTTTTTATAAATAAGACATTTCATTAGTGTTTATACGTCCACCCTCATTTACTATGGTTTTCACTAAATAAGAAACTTTTTTGTAGTTAACATAGGGTAATGTGTGGTGGTTATATCATGGATAAAACAACGTTACAAAAACACGTCTTTTGGTATTATTCGTAGTAAAAACTAGTTTGTTAAAATAGTTTGCCTATTGCATATCTGATAAAACCAACAGTGATCAATAGGACCAAACACGGTTATTACATTCTACATAGTTACTTCATAACTACATAGTTATTTACCGTAAGGCTAACGTTACCCAGGTGATTTGCAGAAACCAGCAAGCATAACTGTTACGTATATTGTAATCTATATTCTGCGTTTAACAGTCGACGAATTTACACAACAGACATTTCTGGAAGACATTATACAAAAACAAAATCTAGTGATCTCTGAAGCCGGTAGAACAAGGTCATGTGCGGCACTGACAGCATGAAGCCTTCACTGAAGGGCATCGTGTTAAAAAACCTCCATCAAAACCACCATATCACAATATTGCGAGCGTCAGACACCCTGACAATTAATTACAGCGTAGAAACAACATACTACAGTATGACCGTTAGAGAAATAAAACCATATAAATTCACTGAACGTATAAAATTATAGGTTTGAGGCTGTCGGCTCACCATGGCTCCCTCGCGTACTCCTCCATTTTGTTCTTTTCCCGTTCACAACTGACGTAACCAAGCACGTGCTGTTGCTGCAAGTGACGTAAGGTTCCTCGTGCGTTTTTCGCTGGTTCTTTCTGTGTGAACATTGCAAAGACGCCCCTCTAGTGGAGGAAGTTTTACAAACCAACAAACCATTCAAAGTCACAAAATGTGACTCAATTATATATTATCATTATCATATATCATCAGAGGTGCGCGACGTTGTCATTCGTTTGCCGGCAGCTGAGACTTGGGAGTATTCTACGAGGACTCCTCTTTTCACTATGAACAACAAAGGTGAAAAAAGAGATCTTTGTGATCTTTTGCTCATGGTTTAAAGTTTTAAGAAAGATCACAAGTTACAATATTTAAAGTTGTACCTAATTAATTTAAGTGCTTTTTTGAAAGTAATGTAACTGATGGTGTTTTTTAATAACATTTCGAAATTTCTAATAAATGTTTTTAACTGCCAACACATAATCATAATGTAGCATTATTTTATTTTTTTACCTTGAAACCATTCTGATGGTAAGTACAAATTTAAAATCATAATATGAAATAGTTTTTATTTATTTATTTCATAATTAATGTTTTGAAATAATAGCTTTAATAAGAAACACTGTCATAACTGTTGGCTAGGCTATATAGGATGGTTGCACCATTTACCGGTACTATGGTAGTATCGTGACACTATGGCTCCAAAATACTGGCAATACCACTGTAGTATATGGTAGTATCGTCATTAATGGTCTATCTACAATAAATAATGTGTGTGGAAAAGTCACTAAATTGCTCACAAGTTTGTGCAACAATAGTCCATTTTATTAGAATAAAGCAGTCAAAGGTTGCAAAACTGTGTAAAATTTGCACCTTTTATGGTTTTTATGGTTTTACGATTTTTGACACTTCAGTTTAAACGCACATCTGAATCAGTTCATTTCTGTTCCTGTCAATATGATTTAGTAGCTACAACAAACACAACAATCTCTTAAAAACAACGACTCACAAAGTAAAAATTATAATTAGGCCTACTTTGGATTCTTACCTGAAAAGGAAAAAATAAAAATAAAAAACAATAGATGAAAAACAAAAAGAGCAACAGGAAACATCGAAACCATTTTTGACCTCGTTTTATTGCCTAATTTGCTCTTTTTGTAATAAATTCTGTTCGGTATAATTTGTATCTTTATTTTAATGTATTATATTGATGTGCAAATACATTTTAGAATAATAAGAGAATTATGAATTCAATTCAAGTAGGCCTGTTATAACTTATAAAATAGCTTTTCTGACCATTTTCTTTATTTCATAAATTTGAGTTATGAATTACAGTATCGCAATACTACTTGGTATTACAATACTTAAGCTGGTAAAGTACTGTAATGTGAACTAGTGGTATTGCGACAACACTAATAGGAACTATATAGAACTAACTAACTAACTACAGGAAACAAAACATTTATAGAATAGGCATGTTTTCTATTCTTTGTCCTAAACTGAACAAATTTAAACAAGAGAAAAAAATAGGAATATTTTCTAACTTCTTGAAGCTTTTTACTAAAAATATACAGATTTAACCAATTTAGTTGAATTTTACATTTTTCAGAAACTGTAATGGATAACAACGGTTACATTTTATTAAATTATGTAATGGCATTATAAATAACAAGTTACACCCCAACACTGCTCATTTTTATTCATTCATTCATTCATTTTCTTGTCAGCTTAGTGCCTTCATTTATCCGGGGTTGCCACAGCGGAATGAACCCGCAACTTATCAAGCAAGTTTTTACGCAGCGGATGCCCTTCCAGCCGCAACCCATCTCTGGGAAATGCTCATTTTTATGATGTTTATAATTAACATCTAATTATATCTGAAAAGTGTAAAATGTTATTAATAGCACTTCATCTTGCAAATTTATTTGATTGATTCATTCATTCATTCAATTTTCTTTATACCACCAACTCATCCAGCATATGTTTTACACAGCAGATTGCCCTTCCAGCTGCCTTTATTCACACACATACTCTATGGCCAATTTTATTTACCCAATTCACCTATAGCACAAGTGTTTGAACTGTGGGGGAAACCAGAGCACCCGAAGGAAACCCAAGCCAACACAGGGAGAACATGCAAACTCCACACAGAAACACCAACTGGCCCAGTCTTGTACCATTTTTGCTGTGAGGCCACAGTGCTAACCACTGAGCCACCGTGTCCAAATTGATTCTATTTGTATTTCTTTTATTAGAAAGCAATATTCAAGTTCATATCTTGCAAATAGATGTTGTCAAGTGGCAAGTGAATCAAAATGACCTGGCCCTAGTTTTTCCTAAACAGAAATATTTGGCTGGGTAATGGCTCTATGTTAAAGTCAAGAATCTCTCTTGCTCCTTGATGTTGCCTTGCTCTGAGTCCGACAGGCTGTTGGCTGTGTTTCCATTATTAGGAAGAGGGAAGGAATGATACGCAGACTGAGCCTGCATCGAGAAATGACCAAATATAGAAATTTCAGCAGTGCTGAGGGTTAGTCCGGGCAATCAAAATATAAACTAGCTCGCTTTCAATCTAATCAACCTCCAGAGTTTGAAGGAGAAGTCATTTCTGAAAGAAAAAGTAGAAAGACCCCAGAGCAATTACTTCTAATCTATGCATTGAAAGAAGCATCTGCCGTTCATCCCAAGAACATAATTCTACAATAAGACTTTTAAATGTGCGACCTGGAACCCGGTTCATTTATTATCTTACGTAACAAATGGTGGGCTCTTTTGTTACCCATGTTGTTCGTTTACTTTGGCTGTCCACCATAAGCTTCATGTATAGTTCTTTATTCTAGCAGTGACCAAATGAGCTAAGCAGAACTTCGTGACATTTCCAGGAATGCATTAGATCACTGGCTTTTTTATGCCTTTATTTATGCCTCTTGTATGAAGGGTATTCCGAATTCACTATAATCATCCATACAACAGTTGGTTGTTGAATCTGATTGGCTGATAATCGTGCAATATTCTGCAATAACAGCACTCGTACAGCCTCTTTACCCTTGTGTATTACTCCGTCCACATAGAGTGCCTAGCAAAGAAATAAACCTACTACAGTTTGACAAATATTGCTGCTGTCGGACAACATAATGTACTTTTGAGGCTTTTTAGGCGAGAATGTAGTTGTTTGGATTGCAACTATATGGTACATAATAATATAATTCATCCTGTCTATGGTTATGAACTCGAAAGAACGCATGGCATATTTATGTTTTGATAAAATTACTTAGGCTGAGGTAAATTTAAAAGATGCTTAGTATTTTGTAGTTTTATACTATGTCACTTACTATACTCCAGGTTCTGTGACTAATATTCATAAAGATAACCAATTGAAGATGTTTGTTCATAATTTACACATCCTTACACACTTTAAAAAATAGTTGATTCCTTATTTTTTTTGTTGCTGAATCAAATGAACTTTACAAGTCAGTTCAACTGATACTTTTTAACAGTGCAAAAAGGTTTTGGGTTTTTGTAACCCAACATTGGGTAAAATATGGACAGCATTGTTGTTGTTTTTCAATTAAACTTACACTTTTAATCCCAGCAGTTGGATTTTTCCATATTTTACCCATGTGTTGACAACCCAAAATTGTTATACCTTATTTTGAGGACTACATAATAACATAAAATTAACATAATGAATTTTAATCATGTTTTGAACATAGAAAAACTCAATATTTTCAGATCTGTGGGATGTTCCAGCCTGATCTCATGAGAAAACTTAAGCATTTTACATTTTGTCAGTTTAGTGGCTAATTTGTAGAGTTCAGTCATACAAGAATATACAATTTTAAAAAGGAGGCACCTAACCCCACCCCTAAACCCAACCGTCATTGGTCCAATGGAGAAATGATCGTGCCCAACTGAGTCTGGTTTCTCTCGAGGTTTTTTTTCTTCACTTTCGCCAATTGGTGAAGTTTTTTCCTCGCCGCTGTCGCCACTAGCTTCCATGATTCGGGATCTGTAGATCTGCGCATCGATGGATTTGCTCTTCAGTGTTTGGACTCTCCGTAGTGATTATTAAACCACACTGAACTGAGCTAAACTGAACAGAACTTAGACTCTGAAAACTGTTTCAATTTACTATGATGTTTTATGTGAAGCTACTTTGACTCAATCTACATTGTAAAAGCGCTATACAAATAAAGGTGAATTGAATTGAATTGGGTGCTGAGCATATCGTACTAATTTGTACAAATTAGATTGTACGAATTCATACGAATTAGCCACTAAATTAAAATTTGCTGTGAAATTGCGTTAAATATTCTAACAATTACGGCCACCACCATGGTTAGCTTCTACTAGGACATAATATTGCACATATAGAGACATTAACAAAGAAAACATTATTAAAAGAGACACAAAAATTATTCTGACAATGACCTGGAAGTAATAAAATAAAATCACACAACCCGGGTGTCTTTCTTGGACCAATAACATCTTTAACAAGATACATCCAAAAAACACTTTGTTTTCTAAATAAAACAAATGGAATTACTCCATCAATTCTCCCAGCTGAAACCTGAAAAAAGAACAGTGAATTCATGTTCAATATCCTGCATCCTGCATTCTTAAGAAACTGAGATTGTTTTGTACAAGCATAAAAAATATACGCAACTGGTTTCAAAGCATGTGAGGCACATGCAAATATTTGTGCTGACATTGCTTCCACTCCCAAAGTAAAAACTGTTTTGATATAATTTCATAAATTACAAATGCATGATATTTAATCACAATTGGTAGCGATTAACATGTATATACTCAATGAATTACATAAAAGCTTAACGAGGAAATCAGATCAAAATAAATACTGTATGTGTTCGAAGTCATATTCACATAGATCTGATCATCCATCCCTTTCTGTAATCCTGTTCTCTTTCACTCACTCATTCAAAGTAGAGTGTATTGGAAACAACACCTTTGTTTATGTGATTTCTGATTCAAATCATTTTTCCCTGATCAGCAAGAGCTTTTATTCAGATATAACTTAAATACTACACTGTAAAAGTAATATGTTATTTACCAGGCTTTTTTTTTCAGGTATTTTGCGATTCACAAGATTTTCCTGTTTATGATTATCAATTGCATTATGGGACTGTTGATCTCTGCAGTCAACTTTTGATGTTGAAAATAATTCAACACTGCAGTTAACAATGCGACTTTCATTGACATTTTAGTAGTTGTAAGAAATAAAATAGAGAGAAATATGTACGTAAAATAGCAAAAAAGTACTCACAGTTTATTACCAGGTTATTATACCATCATTTACAACATCAACCCAGACAATATGTTACTATAAACTTTTATAAATGGCAATAAAAGTCACTTTTCAAAAACATTTTAACATCAAAAGTTGTTGGAAGTTACAGATCCCATAATGAAATACAAAATCATGTTACCTGTTAATTCACTGATATTTTTAATAATGTAGGATAACATCCAGCTGTTTAATTCAGATGCCATTCTAATTCAGACACAAACATCCACACACACACTGTACCAAACACACATTCATAAATCTATTATTAGAAATTATTCATTTAGTGCAAATGACAAGCAAGGCCTCACGTCTGCAGTCCCATAGGCCATCGGATCCTCTGAGCACCCATGACTGCACCACACTTTCATGTCTTCCTATCGTCCAGTGTATTTGTACAAAGACTCTTGGCCAGAAGCTGTGAATATCCCCATATATATATATATATATATATATATATATATATATATATATATATATATATATATATATATATATATATATATATATATATATATATATATATATACCAGTCTTTGCCTGTCCTCTTAACTGTAGTAAGACTCTGTATGGAAGATTCTGAGCAATGATCTTCTCAAGGTCTGTGAGATGTCTGTCCTTTCATTCCTGGCTTTTTCTTTATCCACATCTATCTCTTTGCACTTACTGCAAAAGCTTTGGTACTGCAACCTGTGAAAAAAAAAATTATATTGAGCATTTTCTCAGGGTAAAGTGAAAAAGGAAATATATACCTCAAGAACTCAAGGAACCGCTTGACATTTGTTAGTTTCTCTGGATTTACTATCAATAATGGGTTTGAATAAAAGGTCAATTTATTCTTTGAACTATTGTAAACTGATGCCATTAGTTTAATTTAGATTACATTTAAAATAAACGTGTTTGTGATTTCTTTTTGTGCATAAAATAAATGTTTTTTTGGACATGTTTACATAATATTTCAACAACAAAATAAAATGTTTCAAAAGTAAATAAAAAACTTCGAAAGTGTTAAAGATAAAAATTTTGGTGGAATAACGCTGATTTTCTGTTACAAATTATATTGTTCAGCATTCTCTGACCAACTATAATTTTAATGAAAGCAAAGCACATTTCTAATGTTTATTTAAAATTTGGATGATTTTTTTTATCTGCAAAATAAGTTTATTCTAATGTATCTGAAGTACAAAAAAACATGAAATTTGAAATGTTATGTGTTGTACTGTTCATCAACTACAATCTACAGTACACAATAAAAACAGTTTTAGCAACAATATAATAATTGTATACACTTTAATTAAGAAATGTTATAAACTGAATAACATAAATTATACCAGATTTAATTATACTACATTAAACGATAACCTTTAACTAATACACAATGTATAAAAAGTTTTTTTTTGTATGTTTATTTAATATCTAGTGTAGTTTTTAAATTCCATAAATACAGTGGTGGAAAAAAGTGAAAAACTACATAGCCCTGTGTGAAAAAAATGTTTTTAAACACTGGTAAAACAACTTAACTCTGATTATCTAACATGTTTGCAATTAAGAAATCACTTAAATAATATCTGCGTGAAGTAGACCAAAAGATCCTCAAAAGCTAGTCATCATGCCAAGATCCAAAGAAATAAAAAAAAAAAAAAAAAAAAACAAATGCGAAAGAAAAGAACTGACATCCACCTATCTGGAACTGCAGCAGAATACACCATGATCTATGATGTACAATGTTATCTACACAGCCATTATCTACAAATGGCAAAAACATGGAACAGTGAAGAACATTCTTTGGAGTGGCTGGCTGACCAACATTACCCCAGGAGCACACAGACATCTCAAACAGGATGTCACAAAAGACCCCACAACAACATCCAAAGAACTACAAGCCTCTTCTGCCTCAGTTTTGATGAGTGTTCATGACTCCACCATAAGAAAAAGACAGGGCAAAAAGGGTTTGCATGGCAGATTCCAAGACGAACCACACTGCTGAGCAAAGAGGCCAGATAGGCTCATCTTAGTTTTGCCAGAAAAAATCTTGTTGATCTTGATTATGACTTTTGGGGAAATGCTCTGTGGAGTGATGAAACAAAAGTTGAACTTTTTTGAAAGGTGTGTGTCCCATTATATGTGGCATAAAAGTAACACTGCAAGAACACTAAATGAGGCCTTTGGAGAGGCCTAGTTAAAGTCCTAACCTGAATCCAAATTAGATGCTGTGTCATGACCTTAAAAACAGTTCATGCTCAAAAGCTCTCATGTGTGCCTTAATTACAACAACTGTGCAAAGAGGAGTGGGCCAAAATTCCCCACAGTGCTGTAACAGACTTATTGCAAGTTATTGAAAATGCTTGACTGCAGTTGCTGCTGATAAAGGGTGACCCAACAAGGAATTTTGGTTTTCCGTAATAATGAAAACCTACATTTCAAAACTGTTTTGTGATTACCTTTGTGTTATCTTTGACTAAAATAAAAATAGCTATCATTAGATATTTAATTTCCATTTCCTACCTTTTTGAGCTGCTTAACATTGCTGTTCCTAATGGAAGCTAGAAGTTGGTCCCGTGTGTTTTGAGCTGCTCCTCTTCCTCCACTCCTGTCGTCCAGCTTCCTCTGAGACACAGGCGTTAAGGAGTTCTTCAGAAAGTCTCCGTCCAGCATTGGTGGTGGAGGTGGCGGTGGTCCTCCAGGTGGTGGTGGAGGAGGTGGTGGTCCACCAACAAGCCCACTTACCCTTTTCTTATGAGTCAACTTGGGTGACGGAGCAGGTGACGGTATGGGTGAAGGTATTGGTGATGCTCTGGGGGAGCCTTTACCAAAGCTGGGTTTTGGAACTCCTAATGAATCTTTCTTGTCTCCAGCTCCTTGTGCTTGAGCTTGCTTCTGCTCCTGGAGCCGTTTTTGCCGCTGACGGTCCATATTCCGACTAAGAATATTGGTCATGGTCATACGAGGTCCAGCTAACTCAAAGTGATAACCTAGTTTTAGTAGAGTGGTATTTTCTTTCAAAATTTTGGTCATCTCCATCTCAGATTTTCCTCCGATAATGTGTCGCTGGTTGTGGAAACGTAGCTCAGTGAGTGTGGAGTTGTGTTGAAGGGCTTGAATCAGAGACATGATGCCTTTGCTAGTAAGAAGATTGGAGTCCAGATTGATGCTAGTGATGCTTTTGTTGTTGCGTAAGGTGTCAGCAATAGCGTAAGCCACATGGTCATCAGCGCGACAGTTTGCCAAAGAAAATGCTTTGATGTGCGTGTTGTTTTTCAATGCCTCAGAGAACTGAATAAGAGTTTTGGTTTTTATGACCTCAGAATTGTTCACGTTGAGATCAGTCATGCCTGGGTCATTGCGACGAACTTTTTCCAGATCTTCATCAAACATGCTGGCTGACTCGTCATCTTCTTCCTCCTCTTTGGTCTTACCTTTCAAAATAGTGTCCGAGACACAGTTTTCAATTTTCTCTTCTTTTGGTTTATGAACTTCATTTACATTTTCATTGTGTTTCTGAACATCCCCTCTTCCTTTGTCACTTGATTTTGCATTGCATTCCTGAAGCCTTTTTACATTTTCAGATTCTTTCTCTTTATTTTCAGACAATGCAGTAGTCTCTTTTACCTTTTCGCTTGACCTTATTTGTTTTTCATCCCTGTGCTTATTCTCTTCTTTCGTCTTGTCTTCATGAACCTGATTTTGATTCTCCTCTAACCTGGATAAATAGCCTTTACTCTTAGTCTCCTCTCTCTTTCTAATCTCTTCCTTTTTCTCCCGTTCCTTCTCCTCTTTCTCTTGTATCCTAGAAATCATCTCCTTTGCTCTACTTTCTCCAGATTCCCTCTTCCCTCTGTCTTCTTTTTTATTTTTCTCTTTACTATCCTCCTTTTTCTCTTGAAGCTTGGAAATTAATTCTTTGGTTTTGCTGCTGCTACTTTCTCTCATCTCTCTTCTGTCTCTTAATCTACTCCCATCGTTTTGGTCCTTTGTGTCATTTTTTTTCTCAATCTCCTCGTCTCTCTTGGAAACAGCAGATGGGCCGAATTTTTCATCTCTGGTGCCTTCTGTGACTCTGCGGGTCCTGTCCTCCAATCTACCATCACGTTTAGGGAAGGAAGAGGTGGAGGACGTCCTCTGAAGTCCTCCATCTCTGCTGTCAGATGCAGAGATATTTTTCTCTTGGCTCAGGCCCATCTTACGCAGATACTCTTGCTTCCGGCTCTCCTTCTTCGGCTCTACCTGGGGATCAAACATGTTTGAATTATGGAGAAACTGGGTAACAACTACTAATATTTTATTAATATTTTGAAGAGCAAAAAAAAAAAACATATAAATGACTTGATAATGATAACAGGTATAGTCCATTTAAAAATGAAACCTTGCTGTTATTTTAGTTACTTAAGTCAACCAGGATTTGGGTGACTTTTTCAGCTGAATAATAAAGAGCACTTTTAGCTGAAACCTTGGTTTTTAGTGATTCATAAAATGTAATTAAATTAAGCACATACAAGTGAAACAAAACTAATATCTGTGGCTCTTGATGACACACTCAAGGGTAAAATACTGAATGTTATTTACAAAATGAATGCCTTTAATTGATCCACAAACAGATTTGGCAGGCGGTTTAGAATGCATTCATGACATTCTAGGATACACACAGCAAGTCTTTTGCTTCATAATGTATTACCAGAAACCACGGTATATATGCCTGTGTATTTTTTTACTCTTTAAAGTTTTGGCAGCCATTGGCATGAATCTTATGAATCATCAAGAACCAGTTTCAGCCAAATATCTTCTTTAATGGTCTACTGAAGAAGAAGAAGACGAAGAAGAAGAAAGACATGGCCTGGGTAAATTAACTGCAAGTTTTCATTTCGGGTGAGTGATTCCTTTTAAAATTACAACTAATGCTATTGCTTTGAGACTGAAACAAAAGCTGTGCTGCATGCACATGGGATGTTTACACTATAGTGGTTGTTTCAAAGTGAAGATGTAAACTTGCACAGTGGCTGAGTGTTTGATTTGTGAGACACACTGTTTTGCACTGGAAAGCTCCAGCCTTGGCAGACTTATCCTTAAAAGGCAGTGAGCAAAGGAGCAATTAACCCAAGAACTTCATCTGGGCCAACTGCAGTTTCCATTAGAAATAATTTAAGAACAATTTACCCAGCTTTTATTATATAGACAACATTTAAAACCAAAACATTTACATCTTTACTTTATCAACAAAGCACAAACATGTAAATGATATAAAAGCTATATTTACTTGCCACAGGAGTAATAAAATAGGACTTTTATATGCTACCCTAAAAGTTTACTTTTAATTTGGATTTAAGTATGTAATTTCAAGTTGAGGAATTCATATTTACATTCTACAACACAGACCGACCTGTGATGGAATATATTTACCTCAGTTGTCAGGTTTCTCTGGAAGCGGGATTTGAAGTCGTCGGTCTGGCTGCTCAGTTGCGATTCCTTTCTAACCGGAGCGCTTGGTTTTAAATCCGTTTGGTCCACAACGATAATTTCACTCGGATCTGGATCGGGAACAACCGACACCTCTTTCTCCAACTCTTCCATTTCTGCAGTCGACAGGTTTGACAGTAAACTGTCGAGTTCCGGGTCCTCACTCACCTGTCTGCCGGTTTTAGTGAGTCCCTTCACTTTCCTCCTTGACATGGTCGCTGTCAGTATTAACGCAGATTTCAGAAGAATATGCTGAAGATAACGTTATCCGTGCGTTTTTGACTTACTTTACCAGTCAAATGTGAATAAAATAGAAATAGTAGATGGAGGACAAAAAGGAGTCAAATTGAAGCCTTTCTGGATGTTGAAAGAAACTCGAGGAGCAGGGCGAGACGCGATGGACTATTAGCCCTGGTTTGTGGTGCTCGGACATTCCTTGAAATCCATCGCGAGCTCATGCCCATATTTAGATGGGGGTACATAGTCCTTTAAAGGCAATTGGGAAGGCTATGGTTTAGTAAAACTCAAAAGCATCCGAAACATACTTCCTGGTCACTGAACAAATCAGGATTCCTGGAGTACTGACAATATTTTTCCAGGGTTATAGAAATAGATTAGATACTATAATAGGCTGCTCTGCTATTCAAGGAATCAGTTTACTGTGGTGCAGAAGATTTGTAGACTATTCATAAATTTGAAATGATATTGGGTTATGTTTGTAAATTAGAAGCAAACTGTGGGCCAAATTGTCTTTTATTATATACATATTATATACTGCCATCTAAAATGTAAACCACTTAAGTAATTATTCAATGTCAAGCATTAATTGTGAAAGCTAACATTAACTGCTAAAAAAGCAACTCCAACACTTTAAAATAAAAACTGTCTTGGTAAAACAATAGACCAAAATTAACTAAATAAATAAAGAAACTAAACAAAATAAAATAAAATATATAGACCAAATATGTTTGCTTGTCGTTCCTAGCAATAATCAGAGACTGCATGCAAAGTCAAAACTTTTTTTATTGTAAAAAGAGAATTACGCAATACTCCTTTTCCAGTCTGTTCAATTAGTGCTCTTTTATAGGATTGATTAGTGCAAGTTCAAACACTAGTAGCCTATTAATTCCCTTTTTTCCTCTTGAAATACATGTTAATATTCCACATTGTAAAAATTCCTCTTTGTTTGTACTTCACATTTCAAAGTGACAAAACTGTATCATATGCTGTATATAGCAAAAAACAACACTGTTAATTTTACATTCATTTAAATAACTAGCAGGTTATTTAAACAGTGGACAAAGCATCACAACTAATGTGAAATGAAGAGGAAGCACAAATCATTTAAAATCAAAACAAATTGCACCTCATATGTACCTGATGAATCATTTTGAACAAAATTTTTCTAATGAGATAGTTTCTAATTCTTTTTAAATACATTCTAACTGACCACTGGACGAAATGTAATTGATGATAAACTTTGAAAATAAGGCAGAGACAATACAATGATGCTTGTGTTAATTGAAAAACACTAAATTTGGCAGGCAATAAAAGTGCCATCTTAAGTCGCATAACAATAAAAAATTGTAACAGGAAAATGTTCCTTGCAAAATTCCCAATTAAGGTACTCGACTTTAATTACTGTATTTCAACTGCAAAAACATGTTGTGTGCTGGTAAATTACCACACATTTGTAGTTTAAATAGACAAAGAAAAGTGCCAGATTTTTGTTTTTGTCTTGAAGTTAAAGATTTGACTCACGTTTGTAGATTTAACTCCAAAAATGTAATTTGCTTTTCATTTACTCACTTTCAGGTCATCTGTGATTACATTCTCTTCAAAAGAACATTTGGTTATGGTGGCCGAGAGAGCTTAACATGCTGCAATTTAATAAAATGTGCAATTACAAAAAAAAAAAAAAAAAAACGCCAGCAAATTGAGACAAGATCTTTATCTGTTTGACAGCACACAAGCTGCAATGCTGCATTTGCTTACAACGCAAACAAATTAATGAAACACACTGTATTTTCTCACAATGCAAACAATTTATGATATCGCGCTGCCAGGGGCGCCTCCAAGGGGTGGCCACGGCCACCCCTCGGTAAACTCTGGCCACCCCTGTGGCCACCCCTTTGGCCACCCCAATATAATTTTGCGGTTGACATTATTGATTTAAATGAACTTATAAATTCCCAATATTTAGATAAATAAATAAATACATAAATAAATAAATAAATAAAATGCAGTCACTAAATTATTGTTGGTGTTACTGACGTAGCTCTCCCCCTCTGGTTCAATGCTGGTGAAAGCAAACTGACGCATGCGCGCGGAAAACCATTCCCGCGCGCCTCACGCACTCCTGTGTGAATCCCGGTTGGTTGTTTGCATGCACGCCGACATAATAGGCACCGCTCATGCGCCGTGAAACCGGAGTAACAGCCTTTTGTGCAGAAGTGTCGGCACGCAGCGAGTTTTGAAAGTCGTTTAAAGTTTATATAATATGATGATGATGATGATGATGATGATGATGTTACTTTCACTAAGCATGCCTTTAAAGCAGAAAGGAGGGATAATGAGTCAGGGAGGTAAGACTTCATAACATGATTTCTCAGCCATGATCTGGTCTAAGACCACAGATAATTCTATAATACATTTTTTGTATTCTTTAGAATTGTCATAATTAATTTTCATGCAAAAGGTTTCTTAAGTGATGTTGGCATGTCACTCCAGTTGTTGTTTTCCAGTAATATTTAGGAATGATTTCTGTTATTTATTTAGAATAATAATTGTATATTAATATTAATTGTATTTATTTAGAATTAATATAAATAAATTGTTATATTTATTGAATAACAAATCTAACAATTCAAGAGAGGTGGGGGGTGTATAGGGTGGTTCGCCCAGGGTGTCATTTAAACTAGAACCACCACTACACTCCCCGATCGTCCTTGACAGCACCCACACACCTTCAATAGACAGCAATGGCTATTTAATATTTACCTTAAGCTACAGTATATCAATAGAAGAAGCTGCATTAATAAAATGGTTCAAAAAGCAATATGGATAAATAATATTATTAGGTATAGTGAGTGTGTATAGTAATGTCTTTTGTTCAGTTTGTTCATTTGTTTGGGTAATTAATAAACTCATTATTCTTTCATTCATTTTCTTTTCGGCTTAGTCCCTTTATTAATCCAGGGTCACCACAGCAGAATGAACCGCCAACTTATCCAGCACATTTTTACACAGCGGATGCCCTTCCAGCTGCAACCCATCACTGGGAATAATAAACTCATTAATCTCCATTAATTTTAGACATGGCATATCTCGTATGATGTACAATAAAGGCACGTAAAAAAATAAGTTATTTATACAGTATATGAAAAGTGTTTTTAAACTAAACATAGATTTTTATTTGGTTTGCACATGTACTTGCTGAATTATTTCAAAGAATAAATTGCAATATTTCAAGTAGAATTAATTAAATGAATAAAACTACATTATTTCATTTACCAGAAACAAAAATATAACATTACACTGAATTCATTATTTTTTTTGTGTGCCACCCCAAGATTTGGTGCGGCCTCTTCTGGCCACCCCTAAGAAAATTTTCTGGGGGCGCCACTGCGCGCTGCATTTTCTCACAACATCTTAAAATAGGATGGAACATAGCGAAAATAATTCAAGGGGACCCAAAAAGGGTGACAGACCTGGCTATTTAGGTTATGTGCTGTGTCCCAATTCGCCTTAATAGTATTTGAAAATAGAATTAGTGTGTCCCAAATCGTAGTATGTTGAAAAGAGTATGCCAAAGGTACCAGGGTGGTTTAATATTTCTGGTAAAAATTTGAAGTGAAGAAGCTTTCATACTCTAACCGCTGATATTGCCCACAGTACATTAGAACTACAAACGTGGGTGAAAAGTGTAAAAAAACTGCAAACATGATGGATGCGCGAAAACCAACCAAGTAGAGAAATCAAATGGAGAAGCTTCGGTAAAGATGTTTGTATGACTGTTTATTAATATTTAGCCCACTGGAAAATATCTAAATCACATTTTCTGTGTTATATTTCATCTGCAACAACAATACTGAACTTATATAAAGACGTGTACTTTGAACATTAACGTCTGAATGCAGAATTATCCAAAGACCTGAGGAGATTTCTCTGCTTCTCCAATATGGAAGGAAATTAAGTATGACAGAAATTTTGATGATGTGTGGATGAATGATAGGGCTCGTAACTAAGCAACATAACTATCTGTTAACAAGGAAGTAATATGTCCCAAAGCTTGCATACTCTTCTGTCACACACTCAAAAGTATATACTCACCTTTCAAAGATCAACTACAACTTCACTAAGCAATAAGCTTTGTCTCATTTTAGAGGCTGCACTTCAAAAGTGAGTCCTTCGAAGTCCACACAGGCTGAACCGAACGTTTTGAAATGAGATGATCTAGCTACAGAGGACAGATCTCGTCACCAGGCAACCATAACAGCTGCTGTCAATAAGCGCTGATAACATTTGTAATGACGTTTTTTCAAAGTGATTTCAAAACTTATTTTAAGTGATCTGAAAGCTAAACAAGGTATGCAGTAGCTAGAAATATATATTCTTTGATGCATACATGTACACATAAAAATGTAAACTGTCTATAAAATCGCTCTTTAGTAAGACATGTCATACTCATTTTGTTTCTAAACATGTGTTTAGATTTCCAGGTAAAATAAACTTAATTCACACATTTAAACCGGAGTTTTCTTTTAAAAATATTCTGCCATTATCATTATCCTTTTTGGGTCCCCTTGAAACATTTCTGCTGAGTTTAGTTCTTTTTGAAATTGTTGTGAGAAAATGCAGCACGTTTTTGTAATTTGTTTATGTTGTGGGGATTTGCAGCATGTGTGCTGTTAAATGGATGAAGATCTTTTCTTCATTTGCTGGCGTTTTTTTTTAATTGCATGTTTTCTTAAATTGCAGCATGTTAAGCTCTCTCAGTGACCATTCATTCATTTATTCATTAATTTTCTTGTTGGCTTAGTCCCTTTATTAATCCGGAAACGCCACAACGGAATGAATCGCCAACTTATCCAGCACGTTTTTACGCAGCAGATGCCCTTTCAGCAGCAACCCATCTCTGGGAAACCTCGGTGACCATATTAAATAAAATAAATACCTAAAACTAGGCATTAGTAATTTATAAAATGCAAGTCAAAATCTTCCGGCATTTAAAGAGTAAAAAAGTATACATTGGAAAAACTAAATTGAATGGCTTTTTGACTCTCAAAAAAGCTGATATAGCTGTTGACTTGCAATTTTTGAGCCACTAAATGCCTCAATTTCAGCTTAAAATCTTCTGGAAAATGCTTGAGTATTTAACTTTTTAAAGTAAACCAATGAAACAGCAAATTTTCATTTTTGGGTGAAATATGATGACAAATATGCGGAAACTAACATAGCTTAAAGGGACTTAAATGACACTGTTTTTAAAAAGTAACAATATACTATAAATTAATGTTTTATGGATTGAAAACAATCTTTTTGAAATGAATAAGAACAGATAGACAGCTAACAGGATGCAAACATTACAGTGATCTCCTCGATAGCTATAGGTAGCTTGAGTTACAATTAAAGACATGCAGATCTAACGAATGTTAACATCAC